CACACACACACACACAGACACACACAGACACACCCCTCCAAGCTAGGTTCTTCACATTGAGAGGAAAACAAGTATTTCTGATGAGGTTTGTTTTGCTTAAAATAATAACTTCCAGTCCAGTCCACCCTTTTCCTATAAATGTCATGATTTCCTTTTTCTCTACATTTAAAAGCTTTACAAAAATTGTAAAAACTGTGAGGAAATATACAGCATTATATTTACAGTAAGCACAATCTCATCCTGTTCTCCTTATGATCATTTTTAAAGAAAGACAAGACTGAGGAACCTTTCAACAACCATCAGCATTACTGAACTTTTAGGAGTCTGGAAAGAAGTAACAGCCTCAAAGTTCCTTCTGCAGCTCAGAATTTGCAAACGATATTCTAAAAAGAAACTGAACAACATGGCAAGGGACTTGCTTATACTCTAAATGCTGTCATGAACTGTGTAATTCTGATCACAACAGTTCACTGTTCTGGGCCTTCACATCATCTATAAAGAAGCATTCCTGAGGTAGGGATAGCTTAAGGCTTTTTATCTGTATCTGGCTTTCTAAAGCAGGTGCAGCTTCAAATGCAAATAAACCATTTAGCAAAACAGACTGGTCAACAGCAGCTGTTCATAAATTCTTTTTCTCTAAATAAATGAAAGAATAAAGATAGGAAATGTGTAGAATTTTTAAAAATCCGTGTATAATTTATCCAAAACACTGTCTAGGTATATTAATTATACATCAGCTAAGTACAGTAAATCCTACTGATGTGACTGTAGGATGCTAAATTACTTAAGGAGTCTCCCTATAAAGCAATAGCTAAACATCAGATGTACCAACCACATCTCTAACAATGTGGGCTGCTCTATTTACATTAGACCATCATCTTCACTCAGGGGAAATGGTAAGAGAATGGAGAGTGCCTGCGGCCCAGAACAGTTATACTAAGGACACAAGTATCACATTTTGCTAAAAGACACTCAAGGCCTCACATTTCACTCTCACAAATACTTCCCTAGCTGTCTTTTCACTCTGGCCCACTCTGCAATATTCCCCAAGACTTCTTGTCACTTCCACAAACACCCTTTCCTCCCCTGTAGAGAGAAACAAACTATTGTTACCAGGTTGTAATAAATACAGTGTCTTTGCACTGGCAGATTAACATGGCCTCACTTTCTGACCTGGACTCCTGCACCTAACCATCCTGAACTCCTGGACCTGACCTGGACTCCTGCACCCAACCTGGATCCTGCACCTGACCTGGACTGAAAACAGAAAATTTACAGGAAAGTTCCAAGTACCCTTGAATTTTACTCTTATCCTTGAACATGAGACAGACTTTCCCAAGTGGTTTTCATATCGCAACATCTCACCATTCTCTCAGACAGATGACAATTCTGAAGAAGTGAAGGGAGGAAACACAGGATGGGTGACAGCAGAACTTAAAAAGCCTAGACAACTCCAAACCCGGTATTTGTCCCAAGTGAAAGTCTTTGTCTATACCGGCCAAAACAAATGAAAAGGTCATGTAATAAAACATGAAAGTACCAGGTATCTCAGATACAGTTTAACAAGGGCTGAGGATATAGCTTAGTGTGTGTCCATGTATAAGGTCCTAGGCTCAATCCTCACCATCACAAAAGGGGAGTGAGAGACAAAAGAAAAAAGTAAAATATATGAGGCTCCCTTTAAGAAAGAGAAGCCATGTCTGGTACTAGAAACGTAGTCAACTAATGGGCAGTGGTGGTGCACACATTTAATCCCAGAACTTGGGAGGCAGAGGCAGAGGCAGAGGCAGGTGGATCTCTGAATTCGTGGCCAGTGTGATCTACAGAGTGAGTTCCAGGATAGCCAGGCCTACAAAGAGGAAACCCTATCTGGAAAGGGGGGGGGGGGTAATGGGGGAAGAGAAAACCTAGCCAACTATCTGGGACACCAAGGAAGCCACGGATCTTGGAAAAGAACCTACAACCACTAATTTACTAAATCAGTACAATCCCTAACTATATTCTAAATATTTATCTTTATACCAATAGATAAGTGTAGTCTTCACCCCTCATCAAGGAAATTTCTCTTTCCAACAGGAGACCACTACAGAAAACCATAACCAATGAAAATGCAGAATTGTGGAGCCTAGTCCCAATTGAGACATCCATAACACAACTCCTGCACCTAAGGCTCGGGGAACATTGCTGAAGAGGGGCAGAAAGATTCTAAAAGCCAGAGGACCAGGGACTTTGCTGAGAGATTGTATCTTCTAGGAATGTCAGAAGCTACACCCATAAAGTCTCATCAAGGTAACTGCTCAGTCATGGGCTGAGCAAGGAGGACAGCAGACATATTAGCATGGAAGCGGGGCTCACCAGGCCTCAGCCCTAGATAAAGATCTACTGGCAACTAAGGAGTGCTGAGAGGGCGGAAACAGTCTTCCCCAGGGAAGAGCGCAATTGGTTATCCAATACCAAACGGTCAGCACTAATAACATATCCGACAGTTGTATTTACATACATACACCATCATCATATAATTTGATTATAATCTCAAAAACTTGTATTGAAAAAAATCTCAATGTACAAAAAAAGGTGAAATAAGAATGGCTAAGAAAAAACTGTTCTTGAAGAAACCTCCATACTCTTAGGCATGCTATACCTACAACACCTCTGGTTTTCCTGCACTAGTGAAGCAGATGATCTCTCTGCCATGGCCACGCACTGCTGCACTGGGCAACAAGATCGCGTGAATCCTAAAAGAGCCTTGTCTACTGGTAATGAAAAGTTCTCCGACTGATAAGCACGCTCTTTAAATCATGGCCTATGTAACATCTGTCATGAAAAATCTACTTCTGTGAAAGAATCAAATTCATGACAGCCAAGACTTTCAATCAACAGACTCTCAAGAGGCTTCGTCAAGAAACAAAGCTCCTCACTGCACATGGTCCACTGATACCAAAAAGCCAGACAACGCTGTCAGACAGTTCAACACTTCAACCTAACACTAAAATGGACCGCAATCTTTTCCTGCCACACAGCATCAATCATAATGACCTTGAAAGCAAAGAAACTAATACAACATGAACTTACCTAGTCTCAGAGATTTTATCTCAGCCTACTTTAATTGGTCAAAAAATGTGATGCTCCATATTTCTTTCATATGTGAGATAAGAGTTTTCAGCATACAAGATGGAGTCAAACAATGGCAATTCTTCAACTTGTGTTTAAAAACTGTGTAAAAGCAACCCTCTCATATATTCCACTACTGAGCCGAACCAAACCATTTACATACTTGCTGCCCTCAAGTAATGCTGACTCTTTAAATGGGGACAGTGAGACATGGGTTGTTAGAAGTTCTTTATATTGTTTTTAAGTCTGATTGCAAATAAAATTGATCACCAAAAATTTATGATTACGTGTATACCATGCACATGTTAAATGTGAGAACACTTGCAGATTTCATCAGAGTTTTGAAAGACGTATATCACAGAGTTGAGGAGTCTCTAGCTTGAATCTGGGATTCTGGCTCATGATTTTTTTGTTGTATCAAAGGTGTAATTTTGTGAACTCACACCAGTAAACATTCCTTTGATGTCCTTAAACAAACTGAAAGCAGTTACAAAGACAGGGTTTGAAAACAGGGTGAAAGAGAAGTAGAGGGCCCAGGACCACTGAAACCACAGAACTTAGCATAAGAGGTATGATCACCTCTATTTATGGTCTAAAGCTGAGCTAGATAAAATTAGGGCTTAAAAGAAAGAGTAGAAAGAGAGGAGGAAGGGAGGGTAGGGAGGGGAGAGGGAGAAAGGGGAGGAAGGGAAGTGGCAAAACGAATTTAATACTAGAATCAATTTTCAAAGTTGTCTTACTCCATGTACAACTTGACATTGCAAAATGATGTTGTCATTTACAAAGTCCACACTCCAGAACCAGGCAACTGGATTACAAAAAGATTGCAAAATAACTCAATGTTTAAATAAGTTTAAGTCTTATGTTAGGCCACATTCACTGCTATCCTGAGCTTTCCAATTTATCTGGAGTAGTTTAGGCATTGTCTTTGGAGAAGAAGAAATGCACAAAAATTCTTTGTATTAAACATTTTTCAACTTACTTTCCAAAGAAATGGGTCCTCTGAAAAACCATTACAAGATTTTGCTTTTGCTTTAAATTGTACTACTGACTAAAACATGTCACTCATTTCCAGCCTTTGTTTTCTGAATAACCAATGAGTCGAATCTTTGATTAGTTGACTACATTAATAAATATTCATATCAGAAAGTGTTTTTATTTACTATCAAATTGAATATCATGCTTTACTAGGTAATGGCATTCAGGCTATCAGCAAAATACAACTTGTTCCATGCATGCCTCTGAAATACCAGGATTTCAATTTATTAATATATGCTTTTATTAAATTAAACCTTGATTCCCAGTATAGTTAGTGGGTAATCTTGCTAGTATTATTAGAAAATATCAACATGAGAAAAACTAAATGAACTGATTACAAACTTTGAAGTGTTAGCATATTTTGGTAATTGTTAACACTTCAGAGGCCAGTCTCAACTATATGCAGAGATCCTATCTCAACAAAACAAAAGGATTAAAAATAGGTATTAGCTCATCTCTTAAGCGTAGAGATACACACACACACACACACAAAAAAAAAAAAAAAAATTCTATTGGACAAGAAAAATAAGAGCTGGATACCTAGACTGCACAGCATAGCAGCAAGAGTCAACAGCATATAACATTGTATGCTTAGCAACTGCCAAGTAGATCTCAAATGTTTTCAGGACAGTAAAGGAAGAGGACAGCCATGCCAGGGGTAAGGTATATACTAAGTGGATATGACTGTTGTATGACAACGTACATTTCTCAAAACATCACACACAAACTGTTAAGTAGATCAGACTTTTATTTTTTAGTTACACCTCAATAAAGCAAGAGGGGGGAAAACCCGTTTCCTAATAAATTCTTGGGTCCACGAAAAGGAAAATAAAATAAGTGAGACAGCTTACCTTTTTGTCTCTGGTCCTTACTTCCCCATAGAAATCTAGGGCCTCTTGTGCCTTTAAAAATTTGCCCCGATGCAATAAATATGCACAAATCATTACACCAGTCCGTCCCTTTCCAGCTTTACAGTGGATTGCTGCAACATGATTGTCATCTTCACTTAGCCATTGGTCAAGATCTTCACAAAAGGGCTTGATAAGTTCTAGCTGTGGTGGATTATGGTCTTCAAAAGGATACTGTGCAACTGTCACAAAAATATAACCTCAGTGTAAGAAAAGATAGCTCCTAAATTTTGAATGAAAAGTAGGTTAACTCTAAAACTGTTATATATAAAGTTGATGATGCTTAAAAGAAGACTAACTTTCGGGGAAATTTCAAATATTGCTTATTAACCTAGTTTTTTTTAAATCTTTATTAATTCTTAAATATATTGATCAGACAAGGCCATAAGTATTGTGTTCCTTACTCCACGAAGGAGGAATCTGCTACATGAAGGGAACACATCACAGTATATCAGTACAGCTGAATCCAAATGGATGTCACACAGGCCTCTTGTCAAGAAGTAGCTTCTAACAGAAGGAGCAATAACAGATATTACTGCATCATCACAAAACATGATCTGAAGAAAGAATAGATTATTAATAGAGTCAACTATGGAAAAGACTGGTTTTATATCTCGTAATAATACCAGACATCATCATCATCATCATGGTTTTTCAAGAAAGGTTACACTGTGTAGCCCTAGCTGCCCTGGAACTCACTCTGTAGACCAGGCTGCCCTGGAACTCAGGGAGATCCTCCTGCCTCTTGTCTCCCAAGTTTTGGGATTAAAGGCGTGAGTTACCACAGCCTGGCTAAGAGTCTTATTTTTAAAATAGTCTCACAAATATTATCATTGTTTATCCATGGCTTGAAAGGCATGTATGTGTATACATGTGTATATGTGTGTGTGTGTGTGTGTGTGTATATATGTGAGTATATATATGTGAGTGTATATATGTATATGTATATGTATATGTATATGTATATGTATATGTGTGTATATATGTATATGTGTGTATATACACACACACACAAAGATAGATATATAGGTATATCCCCACTAATTTAAATTACTCACAAAAAGCATACAACTATAGTAAAGTTTACCAAATTAAGTTTTAGACTGTTTTCACATGAATTACGGATGTCTTTGTTCCCTATAGTCAAGAGTTGAGCTTCAGGAAGGTGGTTGTTATTTGCCTAGAAGCAAGACTTCTGGCTTTTATCTTACTAGTATCTGTCTTGATGCTACTCTATTGAGATCCTTAGATCCTAAAGAACTCAAGGGATGTGACTCAGTTTGCAAGGTGCTTGCTCAACAAACTAAGCCCTGGGTTCATCCCTGCTCGGCATAAACATACAGCTGAGGATGAGGTGAACATCTGTATTCCCAACAGTTTGGAGGCAAAAACTTCAGGGCATCAAAAGTTTGAAGTCACCCTCAGCTACACAATGAGTTCAAGGCCACTCTGGGACACTGAAACACTGCCTTAAAATTTAATAATCCTGATGGATACTGTTGTTTTAGTTATCTGCTATATTATCTAATATGCAAAAGTTGTGATATATCCCAACCAAGCCATCCTAAAATGGGATAGGACAGTCTATTTGATCCTCCTTGTGAAAGGGGAGCTCTCTGGTTAACAATGGCATGCAGTTACATAGGCGGCAGGCTAGCTTTCACTTAATCATCTGCCTAACTGTGATCCCAATCTCATTTCCCCAGTGGCACACAAGGGAGTCTGTTAAAATGTACATTTAAAACTAAGTAACTTCAACTGTGGCATGCTTCCTAATAAGCAGTAGCCTACTTCTATCCCACAAAAGAAACATTCCTAGTAAATTGTTCTCATTTAGTTCTTCATGCTTCAGTTCTCAGATCATCATTAACACACATGCTGGATGATAAACATCAATCCATCGCTTACAGTACCCATTTCTGTTTGACTACCAAGGCAGTCTCTGCAGGCTCTGGGACAGAATGGACCCAGCTGCTCTATCCCTTCCTCTTTTATGTCATTCATTATTCTACATAGAACACTTAAAATGGTTCTTCTGTCATCTTATAATTGTTTACAATGGCACCGAAGAGTCTATAAGCCCCTCCTTATCCTAGTTTAGTCTAGTGATCTCCCCTGGTTCTCAATCTACTCTGTGATTTACCTTTCCTGACAAATTTGATAGGTCTATATGACCTAAAGAACAACTCTAAACTTAAATTCACTTTTTAAAATTGCCAAAGGCCGTTAGGATTTTTATCTCAATAATCTAGATAATTAACACTATATGGTAAAAAAACAGTCTACTGGTCTTAAGTTACATAATATACTATGTATGGTTATATTTATACATACCTCTGCAGTTAAATTTGGCGGTGTCATAATGTCTTTCAGCACATCTACAAGAAAGTTTAAATGTGGCATAAAGTTACCTTTCACACTTGGAAGGCAGAGTATTAATATTACCAACATTATTCACCCTTTATACGACACTATGTTAAGTGTTCTTGTATTCACTATTTCAGTTAATTTCAAGAATTCTGAAGTAAGTACTATTTATCATCATCATCATCATCATCATCATCATCATTATTTTATAATTAAGGACACCAAAGCTTAATAAAAAAGATTAAATGCATTCATGCAATTTATAGAGTAGATATGCTTGTCCATACAATTTGTGACATCAACATGCAACACTATGAATTCAACTGCACTGACCCTGTAAATTTCTTGGATGAAAACTGTACATGCTTTTAGAATGTGTTTTTTATTCCACAAACACCTGTGAATAGCTACTTTCAATATTATTTTTACCTGATAGATGATTTATACAATCTTAAACCATTATTTAATAAAACATACATGGTAAAACCAGTGAAAACATAAGAACAAAGAAAACGTAAAAGACAACTGAATGATACTAATTTACTTAACACAATTCTTACTAAAAATTGTAAACAAGACCTTTTATCCTTTTGCATACAAATGTCATTTTTGTCAATGATCTCTCAGTGTACAAATTTTAGTATCAGACAATAATTAAATAAATAAAGCCAATCAGAATAGTAAAATGCTTACACCATTATAAAACATACATATTATCTTTTCAGTAACACTAGTGGTTGCTATGCAATTGTCTCACTCAAAATTAACAGGCTATGAAATAAATATTAATAGGCTCAAGGGTCTCCTACAAATTAGTGGGGTTAGCAGCATCCTGGTGACTCCAACTAACAAAATGGGACATTTAAGAATTACTAAAATAGCTGGGCATTGGTGGCGCATGCCTTTAATCCCAGCACTACTAGGGAGGCAAAGGCAGGTGGATTTCTGTGAGTTCGAGACCAGCCTGGTCTACAAGAGGTAGTTCCAGGACAGCCTCCAAAGCCACAGAGAAACCCTGTCTCAAAAAAACCAAAAGAATTACTAAAATAAGCTGGGCATGTTGGTACAGGTTATAATCCCAGCACTTGGGAAACTCTGTATTGTTAAGAGTTTGGGAAAATTGTATTGTTAAGATTAGTCTTGAATCAGATGGTGGTGGCACATGCCTCTAGCCCAAGCACTTGGGAGGCAGAGGCAGAGGCAGGGGCAGGGGCAGGGGCAGGGGGCGGGAGGCCGGAGGCAGGAGGCAGGAGGGAGGCGGCAGAGGGAGAGGGAGGCAGAGGCAGCCAGATCTCTATTAGTTTGACGCCAGCCTGGTCTACAGAGCAAGTGCCAGGACAGGTTCCAAAGCTACACAGAGAAACCTTGTCTCAAAAAACCAAAGGAAAAAAAATTAGTCTTTGCTATACAGTGAGTCCTAGACCAGCCTGGGTACAGAACAAGAAGACCCTGTCTCAAAAAACCAAGACAAAGGAAATTACTAAAAACAAAAGTATGTTAAAACAGTTCCATTACTCCTTACCCCACAAACCCAAATCCCGAAGTTCTAAGTATGCAATCTCAGTTCTAATAGAACCCATTCTGAGGCTGCTCAAAAACACACCTGCAGTAAAGACTAGCCAATCCACCACATGGTTACTTGGTAACATAAAGGATATCATTTAATATCATATAAAAAACGCCTATCATTTTTAAAAAAAATACTGAAAATTTCTGCATATTGAAATGTAACTTATCCAAAACTTCCAAATAAGCAGCTGTGGACCTGCATTGTACATCTGCAATCTACACAGCTCCCCAACCTTAAAGTTTCAAAACCAAATTCACATGAAGATTGAGCAAATCATACATAAACTACAGTCAACTTGTGTATTATCCTACAAAACAAAACAAAAAATCTTTTAGTGTATTACTTAATATTAAGTGTATTACTTAATGTACTGTTTTGCTAAAGAAAGCATTTATTAGATAATGGCGTATGTAGCCTTGCTAACTAATTTTGTGTTTATTTCTATAAAAATGAGACAGGAAGAGAACTGACACGGACACAAAAGAGCACATTTGTCCTTTCTCCCTCCTTCTTTGGTTTTTCGGAGTCAAAATCTTATATACCCAAGGCTGGCTTTGAACTCCTCTTCCCTTCTCCCTCCACCTCCCAAGTGCTAGAATTCCATGCAGCACAGCCTGGTTCTACTCTTCTGAGAGAAGGAAGCAGTGGTGAAGATCCTACAGTGGAATATAGCCAGGAATCATGGAGACTCTCAGGAACTGAGGAGACAGGAAGCTAGCTAGGCACCTAACCTAAGAAATTGGTTGCATGACAGCCTACCAGAATGCAAATGTTAGTTTCCCGAATAGCTAGTTGTCTCAGGACCTGCAAAAGCCTGGTCTGAGGTCCAGGGTCTGGGAGAGTTCTTGCCTAGCAGAAGCAAAGCAGACTATACCCCATCAAAGAAAAGAAAGACAGAGCAAATACTCTCAAAATCCTGGTTTAATGAGCACTGCTGAAGATTACCATCACAGATGGTTCTCATGTATCAGTTAAGATGACAATATGGAAGAGGGAAAAGCACAACTAAATGTCTACAAAATATAATACACACCTTACACTAACATCCGTGTTTTCACCCTCACAATCATGTAACAGTTTATATCCCTATTATATAGATGAGAAAGCTAAGATTTAGAAAGGCCCTTAGAAGCTTACCTAACCACACCAGCAATCACACATGACACATGAGCTCAAGTTTAGTCTCCTCGGTCACCAAAACCCAACAACTTTTATTACTGTTTGATTCAACACAATAAAAACACTCAAGTTTTAAATAAATGTTAAAGCAGTGACAAATTTTACTCAAATTAAAGCCAGCCCTAACATGGACAGTATCTGTCACTGCAGACAGACCCAAGAATTAAAACTGTGGAAAGAAAAAGAATAAAAAGCATAAAGCTCTTGACAAACATTTAGCTGTGTTATTTTTATCTGTTAAGATTTTCTTCGTGTGTGTGTGGGGGGGGGGAGGTGTGTGCACATTTTCTATCCCAGCATTCAGTGGGGCAGAAGCAGGTGGATCTCTCTGAGTTTGAGACCAGCCTGGTCTGCAGTGTTAGCTGCAGGACAGCCAGAGCTGTTACACAGAGAAACCTTGTCTCAGAAAACTGAAAGAGAGAGGGAGGAGGGGAGGGGAGAGAAGGGAGGAGGGGAGAGAGGGAGGGAGGGAGGGAGGGATTAAAACATTCAATTTGTAGGTGTTCAAACTTTTGAAGTGAATAAAACATGGAGAAGTAAAATCAAAGACCTAACAAACAAAAGGGACTGCTGGCATAAACCGTGGGTAACCTATATGTACCTATGTATCCTTGGCTACCTCACTTAACTTCCCTAGTCCTGGAGAAGTTACTACTAAGTGATCTTTCAGGTCCTTTGCCATTTTGAAAACCTCTATCCAGGTGACATGTGAGTGAGTTAATAGGTACTAAAGGGTATTCTCAAATAATAAAGGGATAGTTCATTAAATTGGGAATCAAATGCTTAGAAACAGAGAGTCAAGTTCCTAAGCTACAACCCAAGGCCACTTTAACTATACTAAAATAGAACAAAGGAGATAGCATAAACCTAATCCCTAAATTCTAGAAGCAGGAAGCCACTATACACAGGAATGAAAAGAATTTCCTCCCTGTTCTTTGGATATGTTAAACAGGCATAAAATTTCAACACAGGCAAAATGTGTCTTCTAGTGTCTTTCTACTTCCCTACTGGGACTCTAAATCTCCAATCCTGATGGTGTGAGTCCAAAATGATTCATTTAATGAATTCCAGCTTTCAACAGTTCTTGTCCTTTTTTGAGTCAGCTTCCCAGTGCAGCTGTTCAAAACAGTTTTGTAGTTCTCCTATACACCTTTTATTATTATAACCCCACCTAAGACAGGCTACATTACCACTTGGCAAAAAAGACTTACCTTCATAACTCAAACACCACTGTGCTATCAATCCTAACTTGCCCTGCCCCAGCCTCCTCAGCCCAATAGCTAGTAACTCCTACTGAGTTTGATTAGCAGGAAAGCCTAATGGGGATATTTCAAGATCTTCAAATGTATTATGTTTTCAAAGAAAGATAGAACACATACAACTGCAATCTTAAAATTGAAAGAAAGAAAACAGAACCAGGTGTGTAACAGGGAAGGATAGAAGAAGGTATCAGAATTAAGTGCAGCTTAAACATTCTGCCCTTTACAAAACCTGTCTATGGGGCCCAATTACTGTCTACAATTCTTTGCTTAACATTCAAACTAACTATGTGCTTTGAGGTCTGGAATTATCCTTGTGATAGTTTACCATGACTAAAGAGATGCCCCTAACTATAAACAGCTGCACTTTTCTGAATCTGAAGTCAACAAGAACTACAAGACACAATATTGGTAACTACTGCACATGAATATTCCTAAACTCTTATCAAAACAGAATTACTACTAAAAGACTGAAAGAAAAAAAGCAGCATCTAAGCAATCTAACAAGGCACGGAAAATCCTCTAGATAAAAATTCAAATGCCCACCGGACAGTGGTGGCACACATCATTAATCGAAGCACTGGGGAAGCAGAGGCAGATGGATCTCTGTTGAGTTTGAAGCCTACCTGGTCTACAGAGTGAGTTCCAGGACAATCAAGGCAACATAGAGAGGCCCTGTCTCAACACCTGCCACCCAGCAGAAGAGAGAATATTTGTGCTATATTTGATAAAGTCTACAAAAAATGGTAATTGTTACTTGGTATTTAACATTACATAGAATTCTCCTGCTGTATAAATCACAGGTATAAGACAAAAAGGCATATAGAAAAATAATTATAATTTATGTACTTTTTAAAATTAAAAAATGCTCAGTATTAGGGGAAAATAAGAATGGTCTTCTTGAAAGACAAAACTGTTTAATGGTTTTTTTCCCCTTTCTCTTTTTCATATCTCTACTCCAAAAGTCAAAAGAAAACAAAGGTTTAAAGACAGGCCTACAAGTTCTAATAATCCCTAAAATCCTGCACCAGATAGTTAAACAATGCTGGGTAACTTATTTAGGTTATACATAGAGAGTATTCAAATAGCTGTCTCAGTCAATTGACCAATAAGCACAGAGAAACACAGGTCTGTCCACCCTGGAGTCTGTCTCCATAGACGCCATCATTAACACTAACCCCAGTGCTGCCATGGATTACATTTCAAATTATCACATGATTATAGGTTCAAGGATGGGCTAGGCGCCAAGTCTTTTAAAGCAGATCAAGTAACATGAATCTGCCAGCACTGTTGTACCTCATCACCACACTTTCTAGATCCAACAACCTTCTCTATCGGACTTCAAATATTTGCGGAATCCAGCTCTATTAAAATATAGTTTGAACTCCAACAGGGAAATAACTTTTACTTAGGTATTTAAACATATATACAAATAAGAAAACATACTTACAGATTGTATATCTTGTAATGGTTTTTATGCTTTGAATCCAAAAACCTTAAAACGAAACAAACAAACAAAAGGCCACCATTAACAAAAATGAGCTAACATTTCAAATTACAACAATATTGAGCAGGACTAAAACAGGTGTTATTTTCCCTAATCTCAAATACTATTAATAACCCAAATGTATATCCCCTCCAACTTCACACCATTCATTAATATTACATTACACAGATGCATACAATCTGAAGTAAAACCATCTTTTATCAAAAACTATTTTCATATCTTCTGTCTTCAGCCTAATAAATCACAATAATGTCTTGAAAAGGCAATATTAGCAATTCCCAAGTGCACCTAGCTCATACTGATTTCCACAAAAAGCATAAGCAATAATGTACTCTTTAAAAAAGCTTAAAATTTAATCATGAGACAGGGTTTCTCTGTGTAACTTTGGAGTCTGCCTGGAACTGCCTCTGTAGACCAGGCTGGCCTCACACTCACAAAGATCTGATAGCCTCTGCCTCCTGCATACTGGGGTTAAAGGCATGCACCACCATGGCCTGACAAATTTAGTCTTCTTAATGGGAAAAAAAAGTACAAGTAGCAAGTAATCTTGTACAAAGTTTAGCAAGCATTTTTCACATGTGTATTCTCTCTTATCCCTCATAAACATGGCAGGGGTGGAACTTACATTTTACAGAGAAGGGAAGTAGGTCTTAAAGAGATTAGGAGACTTGCCTAAAGTATGCAGGGAAAGATTCAAACCCAAGGACCACTCCCTCAAGTCAGCGGTGAAACTAAACAATAATTACAGGTACCAAAGCACTTATTACATGCCAGGTATTATTCTAAGCACTTTATAGGTATAAATTTGTTTAATCTTCAAGACTGTAACAGAAGGCTCAGCAAAGTAGAACACTGAAGAATTATGAGACAAAAGGAAGACAGTTTCATATAGCCTAAGCTAGTCCTGAATTTGCTACATGGTGGTAGATAAACCTGAACTTCTGACCCTCCTCCCTCCATCACTGGGATTACAGGTGTGTGTCACCAAGCACGGTTTATGCAGTGTTGGGGATTAAACCTAGAGCCTCATCCATGTTAGAAAAGCATTCTACCAGTTAACTACATCTCCAGGCCCAACTGGAGTTTTTCAAGATGAAGGGATAAATAGCCAATAAAACTGACTTTAGAAAAAAAGGCTCCACCATCCCACGTGAAGGGATACACTCTGGCCCTGGACACATGGGGAAGGGCCCAGGACCA